CATATGCATTCTCTGTGATTCGTTTTAGTATGAATATCAACACCGGAATGTAGATACATCCAAATGAGTAGTCTCTAATAGAACAAAGCTTACGTCTTGAATTTCACTGTTAGCTAATACTTGAATATACTAGAAACCGGCTTCACTGCCTCAACCTACATTAATAAAACTTCCAAGGCATAAGATGTTTAATTATTCTTGATGTGTATCCGCTGACTTTCATTCAAAAAAAGCATTTGAAGTCATTCACATCACCCTAAGTATGATACTTTAATAAATAGTGACTAGGTAAACACCATTCAAGCAATTTTCCGATCAGAATTATTGAATTTGTTTTTTACAGTTTGTTTTTACTAATTCGTTTAAGATATATGAGATTTTAAACTCTTTAATGTTTTTTACTAAGAGTATATATATATAACTACCGAATGTCACCTGTATCTTATTTTAGTAGAACTTTATGATATTTATTAGCCATCCATGGTAGATATACTCTTGCTAACGTTCAATAGATCTTTTGCCCTTATCGGTTTGAGGATCTGGAACAGATAATCGCTGAGAAATATAGTACGACTTTGATTAAGCCAATCATTCAATGACGAAGGAAAAAGATGCAAAAATAACAATGTTCTGTCGACGGTAGGGCTATCGATTTCAATTTGTTGCAATCTGTGACAAAAAATACTGATGACACATTACTTTCTATAAAACTCCTGACCTGAAAAACACTATGGGATAGAGTACGACTTCATATACATCAAGTAAAATGATAATGGCATTGTTAATTTTCTGAGGTATGCCTCTCTCATTATTTGATAAAATGGTCGTGTACCTATCAAGGGTAACTTTAAAAAATGCTGTTTCATTTTCTACTAATTTCTTATTTTGTTGTAATAGAGCTGTTTATACTAACTATATTCTTGATCACATCAAAAAATTGATTTCCTCACTAAGGTTATATCTATATCCACAACTCTTTAGGTCTAGTTAAACCACATAAGAACACTTACTAATAATGATCAAAGCCTGGTAAATACAATTAAGTTCTTATTGATTTATAAATTTGGCAGAGGAAAAAATTTAAATCGACCCATTAAACATTACTTTCCACAATGGAATTTTAATCTAAAATAAAAGAGTAACCAGGTGAAACAATCCATAAAAATTAAATACACCTGTAATATTCTATACATTATACATTATTGTCACTAATAGTATTCCACTTTTGTATTTACACACTAATGATTGTAATTATTTTATTTCAATAATGAATCGTTAATTAATTGAAGTGAAAAGAAATAAACACAATTATTGATTATTGGGAGTAAACTAACTCCTTTCATCTTATGAATTCATTTCATTATCTATCTATCACTGTATATATAACTGTACATTTGTTTTTCATTGATAATCCATCATAAGTACTATGTATATTAATTGGTTAGAACATATTTGATCAGTAAATCGTCTTATGCATTTTTTTAATACATCCAGTCAACTTGTATTCAATTTGACAAAGAATGCAGATGTTTATTTCAATAATACAAAAAAAGTATTTGTACATTTATTTGTTTACTTATTACTTGTAAGATATATGCATAGAAATGAATGTTGAGTACTACTACAACAACAACTACTACTACTACTATTCGTTTATCTGTATCCAATACTTAGAATAGTACTCATAAATTCACAGTTATATATTTCTGGTATGTTTCAAATAAATCCACTTATCATAAGGCAGTTGAAGAAAAAAACATTAGGAAAGACAAAACAACATTCCATGAATTGATAGGCATATTAATGTACTCATTGAAATGAAATACATTTTTTTCAAGATAATTTTTTTGTTCATTGTGATTGACAAATATTTTATTATTAAGAGTTGAAAGGGAAAATGAAACATTAGTAATGGTTTTTTAGTACAGTGTCTGTCTGTAAAATATTCTTAAACATTCAATAGTAATGGATGCAGTAAATAATACTCTAGGAATATTCAACACCTGATCATCTGGGTCTTTTTCTCTGCTTTTTTTTAAACAATGTATTTACACATTTTCATTTACATTCTCATCAATATCAATTGAATTTGTTTAAATTTTTCGAATGTACTACTTTTAACATCAGGTTTATTAAAGTTTACAATGTGTCCGTATAAGTGCAAATGAATAGCATAACATTCTTACTTCTAAATGATATTCTTCATGGAAGTGAAAATAAAAATAAATTGTAGCATTATAATTCAGTATAGTATGAAGTTTTCGATGAGAGAATATGAAATAAATGAAAGAATTAAATGAATAGTGAGGAAATGGAATGGAAAAGTGAAGAATTTCGGTCAGTGTATAAATTTAAATGGTATGGATGAATATTATTTACGCTTCTCATGATTAAGACATATTAAAATCTGATATATATATAATTTGATCAATACCTTATACTAGACAAAGATGTAGATCTTACAGAAGATCAGAAGTAATGCAAATATCTCAGTAGTACCGTTTCTGCTTATGGCACTGTGTGACATGTTTGAAACTTAGAGAGATCATTAAAATTCTTAATTTTACATTTATGTATTGGTGATAAGTATGGTCTCGCACGAGCTCTATATTTACGGTTTATTGATGGTTGAATCCAACCACCTAACATTAGTATGACCAGTTTCGAGACATATTATTTGAAATTTTCATACATGGTTTAGTTGACTTGTAGACATATGACTGAGAGTTTGCTATTTATTATACGAAACAAATTGACAGTGAATAACTTAGTCGGTTAACGTTATATTTTAATTTGATCAGCGGAATAAAACTAGTTTAACCCATAGGTCTATCCATTCGACTCATATTGCATTCTGCATTATTGCGCAACGTAATCCATTGATTTGTTGTTTTGTTTCTTGACATCCTATGCCTAACTTAAAACAAAATTTAAACCAGCAGTATCGAAGTTCTTCACACAGGACTACCCTGTATTCTAAATTCCGGACTGGTACAGTTTGTACCTTTTCACATGTCATTCAGTTTAACGTTTTATGCAAAAGTTATCTTGAATTTTACAGTAAATTTTTCACTAAAGCTATTTGATTTACATTTGGCGGAAATTTCAGAGTCCCATTGTACATTCTTATTGAAAACTAAACATATAACCTTGAAGGTTTATAGTCCTCGGTGAGTTTGACTTTTAGTCTGGTACTTCTAAATTTTGCTTATTACCCCTATTCAGATCAATCCGTAACGAATACCCATTAGATATTAAAATAAATTTCCTTAAAATCCCTTGAACAAACAATTCAGTAAATAAATTCATAGTCGTAAACAATATTATATGTGGAATGGATAGAGAGTTGTGTTTATTGATCGATAAGGTACTAATTCAATAGCAAGAATGGGTTATAAATTGTAACCAAACATATTTTCTTTCCATTTTCCTCATCATCATTACATATTATGATCATGTCTTTGTGTTGAAGAGTTCATTCGAATTACAGTGAAACAAAGCCTTATTTGAAACCTAAGAATCACTATATAAGATAAAAGATTACTCAATCAATTTAGTCAGTAATAATGTTTAATTCTATCGTTAATTTAAATATCACTATCCTGAATTCTTATTTGTGTGTTTACATCCTTATGTGTACATGAGTTTTTAGTTTCATAAACTTTAGCTGTTATCATAGCTATCATTCTCTTCATTATCATTTTCTACACATATTCATATTAATATATTTAACATTTGATCACTATGGGTGATGTCCAACTATTCATGTTTGTCAGTAGCATAAACATTTGTTGTTTCTATACTACATCAATCAAACTAAAAATTTCGATAATATCTTTAAAATATACATTTGATTCATGTACTTGTCTTTCGCTCTTTGCTTGTTTTGTCCACTTAGTTACTATAATAATTAAGAAATTAAATTGAGAATAGATTTATATATATATAAACAAATTTGAAAAGAGATTAAAAACAGAGAAACATGTGGATATGTGTATAACAAAGGAGGTATTAAATAATGGGAGGAAAATAGTAGTAAAATTAGTCCACTTTTTCACAATAACCACAATCGTGATCACGTCCCCATAGACACAGTCCCAACTATCCTTAATTACATATTTTTATAACCTTTCATAAAATTTTCATTAAACAATATGAGAGCAGATGAGAATAGGAAATGAGACAATAATTAGTAATTAAAACATCATAAGGACTAATATTTAAATTAAACATACCATATATTCAGGTGAATTAAGCGAATGATTGTGCAATATAACTCAGTTTAATAGTTATATATATATAAACAGTATACAGTAATCTCATTTGTAACAAACTTGAGAATTATTTACACATCTGTCATAGTTTAGCCATAACACTTTTTAAAACATCTCAAGAGTAAATAGTATACATTTATAATTAAAATATATTTTCACATGGTAATAGATTGTAGAGGGGTATTTCATAGTTTGAGAGCTGAACTCTTTACCTAGTGGGTTAAATTTTTAAAATCATTAAAGTATTAATTTCAGCTCTCTTAATAATTAGCGTGACTTCTGCGATCGATAATGATTATTAACAGTATAGGGGTTGTGGAGATTGTTAGCTTTTTGATTGAGATCATGAACCGATTGATGTTAGAAAACTCTAGGAGTTCTGGTGAGAAGCCTTGACCAGTAGAGCTAATCCGTGTCGGGTAAAAACAGGTATCTACCTCAGTACAATGGAAGATGGATTGGTTGAGGTTAGACACTAACACCATTGGATACCGGCTCAGTAGTCCAGTAGGTTAAGCGTTCGCGCGCGAGACTGAAGGCCCTGGGTTCGAATCAATCGTAGATGCTCACCGCTGAGGAGTCCCACAATAGGACGAAGCCTGTCGTTCAGTGCTTCCAGGTTTTCAGTTGTGGTGGTCTAACATCAATCGGTTCATGATCTCAATCAAAAAAGTGATTATTAGGTTAGTTGCAATCTTCATTTCTTTTTATAACATCTAAGTGTTCTATACTTCTAAATGGATTGTTGTAGGATATATATGTATACAATAAACTGTCTCTTAGTGCTTAGCCGAGGTCTGCAGTTCAGAGAGAATGTGGTTATAGTATAAAAGTGTTATGTATAAAGTGAATATTGAGTGGCACTTTTTGTCACTTTTTACAGTTAATTTTAACAAAAATATATCTGTCGGACAATTTAGTATGTAGATTGCATTTGCCGTTAATTGAGAGTTTGTTGGGTCTATAATTGATGGACGACCTTTGAGCGACGCTAGTGACCTTGAGAATGTTTACTTATTAACTGGAACTAAATGATGGTTATAAAGCTGTGTGAGAAATTAGAATTATGATTTACAGTTGATGGTCACGGTTAGACTTTTCATCATGAAACGACATGATCTAAAATGCCAAAACTCTATTAGGCCAAGTGGATGAATGAAATTCGTGCGAAAATCCGAGACCTGTTATCTTATATCTGACCGGTTCATTCATAAATTATAGTTTCGCCGAGAGTTTAATCTAGGAAAAGTGTTTCTTACTAATTGAGACTTATCAATTGAAAGTACCTGCATCGCAGGGACTATTAGCATTTGGACTGTGACTTGCATTTAGCATTACCTTCCTCAAAATGCTAAGATATTTTAAATCTTTCTTTAACCGTTCATTATGTATCATAATTTATTTTCATGTTAGATATTAGGGCTCGAATGAAGTTGATGATTGCTTTCATCGTTTTTTTTAAAGTAGGCAAATAAAGTCTAATTAATTGTTTACTGATATATCAGGATTTCATTAGCTTTCCACCCTTTACAGAAATGATGTATCTTTCAAAAATGTTTAAACTTCTATCCGATTTCTTTATCTCTTCAGGACACCATTGTGATGCAGTTAAATGAATAAATTATATTCATATGCACATACAGGATTTTGGAACTCAGTTCATGTCATGTATCTCTTTAAATTTTCATATTTCTAGGTGGATAGCCTTTAGGATTAATATTTAAAGTACGGTGGTCTACCCGAAGTAACTTCACTATAGTGGAAAGAACACACATCCCTTGAATCAACCTCCTAATTACAGCAAATAATAAATACATTTTTGGCTTACATTTTGATAAACTGAAATAAACTGGAAGATAATCCATTAACTGTCTTGTTTGTGGATTAATTGGAAGTACTCCTAACTGTCAAAAAGATTTATTTAAGTGAAATAATACGTTTTACTTACTTTTATACTGATAAGTTTAGCGAACGTTTTAATTGATAACTGTTTCATTGCTGATAACTTATTTGAGCTCTGGAATTTATAGTTTTATATTAAGATTGTAAGGAATTAATTTCTATTAATTTGGCCAAATTTGATATCTCTCACCATAGACCATAGTCCGGGGTTGATTGAGAGTTCCAAAGTAATCCTGTAAACGTTCTTGGAAGTTTAGTGTAATTAATGATTATCACTTTATCTTTTCACACTTTAGCAGATGTTTCATTAAATGAAACTAATTCATGAGGGATTTGACTTGATTTTGTTGAGTCAATGTATTATTAGTTCATGATCTAACATTCTTAAAGATAAATCAAGGGAAGTTTTCAAGAATTTTATGCTTCGCTTGGGAAATCCTCTAACTACTCTACGAATCAGGAGCATACACCCTCTGTGAATTTCACGTTACCATTAAGCAGTTATTAATTGTGGCTACAACTAAATCAAATTTTAAATCATTTTAATAGTTAACAAGTTCTCATTAAGGAAGATACGTTCAAATAGTTAGAGCAATTAACTTCTGGCTGCATCATCGTAAGTTCGAATACTTCCTTACACCTACTACAGTTAATGTAGTCCAATATTTGTCCAAAATGTCAGATATAACACATAACTTGATACTAAGTAGGTGAGTTTTCACAAAAATACTCTGATATTTAAGTGAATATTGACTTCGGGAATAATAACTTCTCGCATATTTTCTGTTATTATGCAAATCAGTTCAGTAAAATATATCATAAATCTGTCTCATACTAGTCTACCGGTTTTGAGATAAAGTGACCCTTAATAGATGAACTACTTTTATTTGGATTAAATAATTTTAAAATCCTATAAACCGCTTTTTGAACATTATTGCTCGTCAACCATTTTTAATCTTGTTTCCATCGAAATTATAGTGAACAACAACAACAATAACAACATCATCATCATCAACCTAATCATCTATGCATTATACATATAATTACAGTTATTAATTTTATTCCTTCTTCAGGTGGTTTATTATTAATTCTTGATCAATAAACCCGTATTCAATGTTTCACAAAAACAAACTGATTATTTTCAAACTTCTGTTTAGATATAAATACAATCTATTAGTAATTCATCAGCCTACTCTCATTCTTTGTCCATCTACCTACCTACTTGTTTGTCTATTTCAACAACACAAGCTAACATCACTCACTCTCCATCAAGTTTAAATTTTGATGGACAATTTATAGATTAAAATTATTTACATGGTTGTTTTGTTTAGATCAAACAACCTGTTTTGTATACTGTTCTAAATTAATCCTTTTCATTTAAGTTGCTAAGGTTCTACTGTGATGTCATCAAAACTAGTCATTCATAAACATATTCATTCACTGACACACTTATTCACTCATCCAACTGATTCATATTTTCTACTTTTATTTTTAAAGTGAAATAAAAGTGGGGAGAATGATTTCTTGTCATAAAAGACCTATCCAATTACAAAAACTGATGGTTAAGTTTAACAAAAAATGTAGATCGAAATTTTCGATCAAAATTTTTTCAGGTTACTAGAATATTATGATTAAAACGTGTTGCTATTGCTATTATAATTACAATTATTATTACTCTTGTTGTCGTGCATGTTAATGATTAGCTCTCATGGATTAATTATTCCAAGTGAACTCAACCTTATGTATTTATATAAACAAGCAAACAAACAGTAATAATCATACCAATACGCAACCTTTCTTTCGATTTGTCCCGTTTACTGCCTATCTTTGTTACATAGATTTAAATAGATATATGAAAGAATAATAATAGTGGAGCAAAGAAGAGAGAAGTAGGAGGAGACATTTTTTATACTGGAAGCAAATATCTTGTAACCTAGTACATGAGATGAATAGAGAGAAACGACTAGCAATTATAACAGTGTTTAATTACAGTTCACCTAAATAGAAAGGGAGGACATAATGACTGTTAAAGCGGTTTAAACAATCAAATAATTTTTTTTGATTGAGATCATGAACCGATTGATGTTAGACCACCATTGAAAACCTGGAAGCACTGAACAGCCGTTTTGTTCCAGGTTTTCATTGGTGGTCTAACATCAATCGGTTCATGATCTCAATCAAAAAAAATTATTTGATTGTTTAAACCGCTTTAACAGTCATTATGTCCTCCCTTTCTATTTAGGTGAACTGTAATTAAACACTGTTATAATTGCTAGTCGTTTCTCTCTATTCATCTCATGTACTAGGTTACAAGATATTTGCTTCCAGTATAAAAAATGTCTCCTCCTACTTCTCTCTTCTTTGCTCCACTATTATTATTCTTTCATATATCTATTTAAATCTATGTAACAAAGATAGGCAGTAAACGGGACAAATCGAAAGAAAGGTTGCGTATTGGTATGATTATTACTGTTTGTTTGCTTGTTTATATAAATACATAAGGTTGAGTTCACTTGGAATAATTAATCCATGAGAGCTAATCATTAACATGCACGACAACAAGAGTAATAATAATTGTAATTATAATAGCAATAGCAACACGTTTTAATCATAATATTCTAGTAACCTGAAAAAATTTTGATCGAAAATTTCGATCTACATTTTTTGTTAAACTTAACCATCAGTTTTTGTAATTGGATAGGTCTTTTATGACAAGAAATCATTCTCCCCACTTTTATTTCACTTTAAAAATAAAAGTAGAAAATATGAATCAGTTGGATGAGTGAATAAGTGTGTCAGTGAATGAATATGTTTATGAATGACTAGTTTTGATGACATCACAGTAGAACCTTAGCAACTTAAATGAAAAGGATTAATTTAGAACAGTATACAAAACAGGTTGTTTGATCTAAACAAAACAACCATGTAAATAATTTTAATCTATAAATTGTCCATCAAAATTTAAACTTGATGGAGAGTGAGTGATGTTAGCTTGTGTTGTTGAAATAGACAAACAAGTAGGTAGGTAGATGGACAAAGAATGAGAGTAGGCTGATGAATTACTAATAGATTGTATTTATATCTAAACAGAAGTTTGAAAATAATCAGTTTGTTTTTGTGAAACATTGAATACGGGTTTATTGATCAAGAATTAATAATAAACCACCTGAAGAAGGAATAAAATTAATAACTGTAATTATATGTATAATGCATAGATGATTAGGTTGATGATGATGATGATGATGTTGTTATTGTTGTTGTTGTTCACTATAATTTCGATGGAAACAAGATTAAAAATGGTTGACGAGCAATAATGTTCAAAAAGCGGTTTATAGGATTTTAAAATTATTTAATCCAAATAAAAGTAGTTCATCTATTAAGGGTCACTTTATCTCAAAACCGGTAGACTAGTATGAGACAGATTTATGATATATTTTACTGAACTGATTTGCATAATAACAGAAAATATGCGAGAAGTTATTATTCCCGAAGTCAATATTCACTTAAATATCAGAGTATTTTTGTGAAAACTCACCTACTTAGTATCAAGTTATGTGTTATATCTGACATTTTGGACAAATATTGGACTACATTAACTGTAGTAGGTGTAAGGAAGTATTCGAACTTACGATGATGCAGCCAGAAGTTAATTGCTCTAACTATTTGAACGTATCTTCCTTAATGAGAACTTGTTAACTATTAAAATGATTTAAAATTTGATTTAGTTGTAGCCACAATTAATAACTGCTTAATGGTAACGTGAAATTCACAGAGGGTGTATGCTCCTGATTCGTAGAGTAGTTAGAGGATTTCCCAAGCGAAGCATAAAATTCTTGAAAACTTCCCTTGATTTATCTTTAAGAATGTTAGATCATGAACTAATAATACATTGACTCAACAAAATCAAGTCAAATCCCTCATGAATTAGTTTCATTTAATGAAACATCTGCTAAAGTGTGAAAAGATAAAGTGATAATCATTAATTACACTAAACTTCCAAGAACGTTTACAGGATTACTTTGGAACTCTCAATCAACCCCGGACTATGGTCTATGGTGAGAGATATCAAATTTGGCCAAATTAATAGAAATTAATTCCTTACAATCTTAATATAAAACTATAAATTCCAGAGCTCAAATAAGTTATCAGCAATGAAACAGTTATCAATTAAAACGTTCGCTAAACTTATCAGTATAAAAGTAAGTAAAACGTATTATTTCACTTAAATAAATCTTTTTGACAGTTAGGAGTACTTCCAATTAATCCACAAACAAGACAGTTAATGGATTATCTTCCAGTTTATTTCAGTTTATCAAAATGTAAGCCAAAAATGTATTTATTATTTGCTGTAATTAGGAGGTTGATTCAAGGGATGTGTGTTCTTTCCACTATAGTGAAGTTACTTCGGGTAGACCACCGTACTTTAAATATTAATCCTAAAGGCTATCCACCTAGAAATATGAAAATTTAAAGAGATACATGACATGAACTGAGTTCCAAAATCCTGTATGTGCATATGAATATAATTTATTCATTTAACTGCATCACAATGGTGTCCTGAAGAGATAAAGAAATCGGATAGAAGTTTAAACATTTTTGAAAGATACATCATTTCTGTAAAGGGTGGAAAGCTAATGAAATCCTGATATATCAGTAAACAATTAATTAGACTTTATTTGCCTACTTTAAAAAAAACGATGAAAGCAATCATCAACTTCATTCGAGCCCTAATATCTAACATGAAAATAAATTATGATACATAATGAACGGTTAAAGAAAGATTTAAAATATCTTAGCATTTTGAGGAAGGTAATGCTAAATGCAAGTCACAGTCCAAATGCTAATAGTCCCTGCGATGCAGGTACTTTCAATTGATAAGTCTCAATTAGTAAGAAACACTTTTCCTAGATTAAACTCTCGGCGAAACTATAATTTATGAATGAACCGGTCAGATATAAGATAACAGGTCTCGGATTTTCGCACGAATTTCATTCATCCACTTGGCCTAATAGAGTTTTGGCATTTTAGATCATGTCGTTTCATGATGAAAAGTCTAACCGTGACCATCAACTGTAAATCATAATTCTAATTTCT